CTGGCCGTGTTGATCAGGTGTTTGAGTATTGATTTGTGGTGTCTTGGTTCTGTTTGTCTTTCGCCTCTCAGCCGGGCATAAATCCCGACTGCGAGGGAATGATCAGATTTGGTAGAAGCGGGAGAAGGCGATTCGACAGGATCTTCGCGAAAAGTTTTACATCCACATTTAGTAGGGATATCGGTCTGTACGATGAACAGAGTTGTGGGTCCTTCCCGTCTTTTGGGATTACTGTAATCTGCGCTGATAAGGCACTTTTCGGTGGTGGGTGGTCTTTATCTATAGAATTAAAGGCTGTTAGGAAAGGGGATTTCAGGGAAAAGTTTATAATATTGGGAGGTTAGGCCATCTGGTCCCGGACTCTTTCCGGGTTTGGTTTGGATTAGGGCCCGTGTTAGTTCTTCGCTGGTGATAGGGCTCTCTAAGGCTTCTGCTATCTGGGATGGGATTGAGGGCATGTGGGAGTCGTGTATGTATGCATTGATGGTCTCTTGTCGGGGTGGGTCTGCTTCGGTGATTCGTTGGTTAGGGGGGGTGTTGTATAGTGAGTGGTAGTATTCTTTGAAGCTGGCAGCTATGTCAGGAGGTGAGCTAGTTGGGGTACCGTTCTTTTGTTTGATGGCTTGAATGTGGGCGGCGCCCTTGTGAGTCTTGACAACTCTTGCCAACAGTTTGCCACATTTATCCCCGCCCTTGTAGTAGAGCCCTGTTTTGAGCGTGAAGGCCCGGCGGACCTTGTAGTCAATCAGTTGTCGCAGTTCACGTCATACGTCTGTCAGTTCTTGTAAGGTGGTGACTGCTAACGATTGTTTATGTGTTCGTTCAAGAGTGGCGATACGGTCCGTAAGGGAAAGCATAGTGGCTTGTCTCTGGCGTTTCAATTGCCCGGCATATTCCATGAATTTGCCTCTAATGAAGCATTTATGGGCTTCCCACACCATTGTAGGGTGAGTGTCTTCTCTAGTATTAAGTGCAAAATATTCCTGTAGGTCTATTTTTATTTTGTGCGTTGTGGTTGTGTCAGCTAGGAGAGAGAAGTTCAATCTCCAAGTCAGGGAGGGAGGGGAACGTGGCCGCAGAGATAATGTGGCTATGACTGGAGCGTGGTCCGAAATGGTGATTTGTCCTATTTGCGCTGATGTGAGGGAAGGCAGGGTTGGTTGGGAAACGAATATGTAATCTATTCTGGAGTATTTGTCATGGAGGGGAGAGTAGAATGTGTAGTCTCTGCCATCTGGATGCAAGGTCCTCCAGGTATCAAAAAGTCTGAGGTCCTCTAAGCGGCGTTTCAGAAATTTGAGAGTGTGGTAAGGTAGAGAAGTCTTGCGGTCCGATGTATCCGTCAACGGGTTTAGTGGGGCATTGAAGTCTCCTCCCAGTATTACCGTTCCTTCAGCAAATTCTGCCAACTTGGAGAGGAAGGCGGAAAGGAAGGGAGCATGTTGTCTGTTAGGCATGTATACATTTGCAATGGTTATGGGGACCTGGTCTAGGCATCCTTTCAGAAGTAAAAACCTACCATCTGGATCCACCATCTGGTCAGTGAGTGTAAAAGCTACACTCCTATGAAAGAGAATGGTCACCCCTTTGGTGTGTCCTGAGGGAGATGAGGCATGGAACGATTGTGGGTATGTGGGATTTGAGAATTTCGGAATCTTATCGTGTTTAAAATGCGTTACCTGTATTAAGGCGATTGACGCCCTGTTTTTCTTTGTCTCCTAAAACCATGGACCTCCTTTCCGGAGATTGTAATCCGTTGGCATTCAGGGAGTACACCCGTAAGTCTCCCGAGAAGGCCATCTGATCCACTGGGATAGGATAGGGAGGGATGAGGTGGGTGAGAGGGTAAGGATAGGTAGGGTTAGGGGGAGGAAAGGGAAGGGGGTATGGAGGTGTAGGGGATACAGGAGAGATCGTTCGAGAGGGAGGAGCAGGGAGATGGAGTATGAACGTAAAAGACAATGAGGGGGTGGTCTAGAGGGGAGGGGAGTTAAACCCCAGACGTCGCCTACTGCGACAGCCGTCTAAGTATGTCGTCTAGAAATGGGGTGTAGTAGGAGGTCACTTAGCAGAAAAGAGGGTGGATAATAACGGTTTGCCCGTAACCTCACTCAGGGGGGTGGGTACTAGTGTGTGTAACTAAGAACAGGTCCGACACCAAGTGGACTTTCAATAGAAGTATAGTGAATCCGCAGGTACGTGGGCAGTCATCCCTGCTAAGCGCAGTAGGGCTGAGCACATAGCTGCAGAGAAGCGGGTAATTATTTTCACCTCAAGAATTTAACATTCGTGTAGTTTGATAAAAACCGGTAACATCAAAAGGGGGGGGGGGTTAATAATAGACCACTTGACGCTCAACATGCATCTAGTGTTCCGCGGCTTAAAAGATGAGCGGAGGAGGCCCCGGGTATGGAGGTGGGTCATTGCCAGGGGGTCAGCCCCGACCCACCCCATCCTCCCCCGCTCCTCTCATGAGATCAGCGCCATCTTTGGTTAAAACATAGAAATGATGAATATAATAACATATCTCAATAAGAAGCAAAAGAGAAAACTTTTATCTTGGATCCATGCAAACCCTTATTCAAATAATGGGGTATTGTCGTCCCCAGAGCAGATGTACCAAACCGGAGGGTTAGGGCGTATATCTAGTCCCTTACATAGTTTATGCATGTATGGCAAGCATAGATCCGTGAAATTAAACTTAGCAAACTAAGTCAGAGAACATCTAACGGCTCAGTGTAAACAGTAATTGCAGTAGTAAGAAACCTGTAAACTGTAGCATCTGGGAGATGGTAGCGTGCGTCTTTCATCCCTACCCGTCAGCCAGGGGGTCAACGGCATAACGCTGCAAAGCCTCTGTTTCGGATTTCCCCGTGAGGTATTCAGTTAGCCGAGACGTAGGGACTATAAGGCCTCAAGGTTAATATATCAACTGCGGCAGTCTAAACATATAAGGAAAGTTATCGATACTCAGCCATAGGGTTGTCAGGCCGTGGAGTCCTCTAGGGATTCATCTCTCTAGGTCCAGGTCCTCCTCTTTTTGCGTCTGCGTCGTTCTCCGGTCCTGTCTCGTGGTGCGCCTAGGCCTTGGCGGGAACCCGATGTCATCTCACTGGTTTGCGGTTCAGGTATCGCCGGACAGGTGGGGGCACGGAGATCACCATACCAGTCCGGGACTTCCACCGGTGGTACATCCAGTTGGCGGCAGAAGTCTGCTATCTCGTCCGGGAAGCGCAGGAAAGCTGTGCGTCCTCTGCTGATAGGCAAAAGGGGTAACGCCAGCGATACGGTATTTCATGGTGGCGGAGACTGTCCAGTAGCGGGCGAAGGGCCCTCCGTTGCTGAAGCGTTAGGGCAGAAAGGTCCTGGAACAAGTGTATTTTGTGGCCTTCATAGAGGATCGGTGTTCGCGCCCTTGCTCTTTGTAGGATCTCCTCCTTGAGCGGGAAGTTCTGCAGGCAACATACAATGTCCCTGGGAGGGCCGTCTGGAGTCGGGCGCGGGCGGAGAGCCCTATGTGCTCTGACAAACTCGATCGGAGATTCCGATGGGCGATCCAGGAGATTATTGAAGATCGATTGCAGAGTCGAGTGTACCCCCTCCGTGGGTATTGTCTCCAGTACGCCGCGTACCCTGATTTTAGATCTGCGGCCTCTATTGTCCAAGTCCTCAATGTGTCTCCTCATGTCGATCATCGTACGGGCAGACGTTGCAGTAAAGTCCTGCAAAGCCCCTAGGGCACAGTCCCTCTCCCTCTCGTTCTACTGCGCTGAGTCTCCGGCCTACGTCCAGTATGTCCTTTCTCAAGTCAGATATGGCGGAGTTCACTGACATCTTAATGTCTCCCGCTATCGACGAGAGTTCCGCTTTAGTCGGTAGTAGTTTCAAGTATGCAGAAAGGGCTTCGTCAGGCCGCGGTTGCGAGCTGGAGCTGTTTCTGGTTCCCAGTTTGGCCGCATGGGGAGCAGCGGACGCCATGTTTGGAGAGCGCGGGCCCAAAGCCTCCGGTCTCGGCTTGAAGATATCCGGTATTTGTTTTGTAGGTCTGTGACCCAGAGGGTTCGGTCGGCGGAGAGGGAGGTAAGGGCTTACCGATTTTTTACCATTTCGAGCAGAGTGGGGTGAAAAGAGGTTAGTAAGGTGAGGTTGGTGAAGCACTGCAATTTGCCAAAAAGTAACTCATACTTTTTCCAGCGACAGGCATTTTTCTGCTTTCAACACAATGCTCAGGTGTGAACAGGGGCCATAGAAATTAATGGGATTCCTTGTCTTGAACATTGTGTCGCGCTCAAGACAAGCAACTGGGATTCCTTGTCTTCAGCATTCTTTCACGCTTACCTTTTGAGTGACAAATTGCCTAGATGTGAACAGGGACTAAAAGTTTTCAGTCTAATAAAAACAAAAGGTGTTAAAACATTTTAGGAGCACCATTAGGCATAAGGCAGGTAATAATCACCCAGGAAGATGTAAAAAACCTAATTTCCTATTGTCAGTATTCAGGAACAGTCTCTGGATGCGAGTGGGCACACGCACCCATTGAGAGCTGGTAGAAGTGGCATCCTCCTTGAGCTGTGATGTTGCTTCCGGGTGGTGTCCTGTAGGTAGGCATTGCATTTTGAGGAAATCATCTTAAGCTTGGTGCTGAAGGGGCTTACATTGGCATTAAATAGCAGTTGCCAAGGACAATGAGAGACTTGCGACTGTACAAGGGTTGGAACAGTCTTAGTGTAGCTCAACGTGGGGCAGCAGTGCAAAAAATGATGCTATATATGATAGAAATTTTCACTATACAAACTATAATTAAAACAAGTAAAACATAAATGTTGTGTGCGACGTGTTTTAGTAATTATGTGGCGAGTGGGTAGAATTAGCCCAAACATCATGGTTCATAGATGATACTTGTACAAATGATTGTTATGCACATTATTATTCCTATGTAAAATAACCCATCTGTATACTAATAAAAATTCAAGAAAAATTATTTCTCTTATTTTCATTAGCACTTGCTTTCTTATGGGACCGGTGAAACAGCTTAAAAAAATGTTCGAACCAACCAGACTTATTGCTACAGTAGTTATGTTGGTGAGTATAGCAGGCATATTTTTAAATGAATATGTATGTATGAATATGACAGCAACACACAGACATGTTTTGTATGCAGTATTGCCTAGTTATGTATGTTTTTACAAGTTTTTGCTTATTGTCATATAGTTACATAGTATTTGAGGTTGAATAAAGACACAGGTCCATTAAGTTCAACCTGTGTGTGTAGTGCGTGCATGTGTGGTCTTGGGTTTAAGAGTACCTGTACCCATGTAAGTTTCGATCTCTTAGGATGGTATCTAATTGATTTTTGAATGATTCAATACTCTCTGCTGATACCACTGCTCGTGGCAGAGAGTTCCAAAATCTAACCACTCTGACTGAAAAGAATCCCCTACGCCCTTTGGGGTTAAATTTTTGTCTCTGCCAATTTTAGGTGGTGGCCTCTAGTTTTTGTTAGGGAGTTTACAGTAAAAAGTCTATTGCTAATGTTGCCATCACCACTAAACATTTTGTACATTAAAATCATGCCTCCTCTTAATCTTCTCACTTCCATCATGAACAGCAACCTTGTCTCATAGCTTAGGTCCTCCATCCCCTTAATTAGTTTAGTTGCCCTTCTCTGGACTCTCTCCAGCTCCAGAACATCCTTTCTGTGGATAGGTGACCAAAACTGAGCCACATACTCAAGATGAGGCTGAACCAGTGATCTATAAAGTGGCAAAATTAAAGCTTTGTCTCTACAGAACATTCCCTTTTTAATGCATGACAGTACTCTGCTCGCTTTGTTTGCCGCAGCCTGGCATTGCGTGCTGGTATTCAATTTGTGGTCTACTATGAACCCCAGATCTTTTTCCATTTCTGACTTCCCTAGTGGAGTTCCCATTAATGTGTATTCCGCTTGCCTGTTTTTAACCCCAAAATGCATTACTTTAAATTTTTCAACATTAAACCTCATCTGCCAATTAGTCGCCCACTCCCCTATTTTATTCAGGTCCTCCTGTAATGTTATAATGTCTAAGTCCGTGTCTATTACCCTCCAAATTTTAGTGTTACCTGCAAACACAGAAACATAGTATAGCGCTACCCCTGCAAGGGCCGCTGTAATATACAGGCCTTCTGTCCCGCACCAGTGATGACTCACCCTCACCTGGACCCAAGTAACACCAATACACCGTTTACACTTTTGGATGGGCTTTATTAAACTAGCAATAAGCCCTGGAAAAAAATAAACTGAATAACAGGATAACAATATCAAATGCAATGATATGATACAACCGCTCAGCGGATTAAACCAGCATTGGTGTTCGTTCACTTTACCCGCCAGTGGGAGGCCTTGCCTGAAATGCACTGAGCGAGTGGTGAACGACACTGTCAGTTACACAATACAGCGATACTGTTCAACAGGTATCTAAAAGCAATATGACTATAATAGCCTATCTAGGTCTCATAGGTTCTAGCTAACCACTGGCCAGTGGGAATTCTACACACACCCAAAGTCTGCATGCGTTGGGGCCCTTTAAATTCTGTGATGGAGTACTCGGCCTTTGGTAAACAATATTTGTAATCCACAGGATGGAAAGGGGTATCTTCGCAGGGTAACAAATAATAACAAAGGTGGTGATCTCCCTTCAGATAGAGCTGCCTTGCCAGTTAATGGGATCTAGCAGGATTAAGCAATCACACAGGGATGGCAGAAGATCTCTCAAGGATGGCAGAAGATCTCTCACCATTAGATGCACTTGATGTATCTTCCCTCCAGCAATTGGTATCTTGATAGCTGTCTCAGCTGACTGGATGGCGATGAGAGCAACACAGGCCACAGGATCTTCCAAAACAGGATGATGATGATGATGGCAGTACAGGAATCCGCCTCTAGATGTCACTGCACTGTTAGCACATCTTCAGAGATCAGGCGAAAGGGAAGAATTAAACAGGAAAAACTCCCCTCTCAAGCCAGAACCTCCCTTTAGAAATCTCCACAGGAATCCCAGATCTGGCAGTACACAGGAAACAAGCACAAGGGACACTTTCCCCTGTCAGGCTGCAACATACCAGTCTGTGTCTCTCTCACTGTGTCCCCCTCTCTCTCCTCCGTCTGTTCTCCTTGTATTCTCTGTCTCACCAGGCCTGCTAGCCAATCACAGCTCTTCTGGCTGCTATCCAATCAAGTCCTTGCTTGCCTTTGTTGTTGGGGGTCGGCTTCCTTCTTAGCCAAAGCAGTAACCAATAGAGTCTCTCCTCCAGTCTCTGTGAGCTATCAGTTAAGCCAGAAGATGTAATGCAGTTTCAGAGAGCAATACTCTGCATATATTACAAAAGCAATACTAAGCCTGTGCTACATCCACCCCCTTCCAAAAAATCTTTGGTCCCCCAAAGAGATAAAATGAGTGCAGTTAATAATAACATAACATTTATACAGTAACCTTGCATATGGACCAACAGCTTAAGCCTGTGATCTAAGGCTGATTTTATGACATTTCCTAACAAAGCATTAGGTAATAGAAACTGCCACCAAGGTGCGCCGGGAGGTGGGTCAGGGACATCAGTCACTGGTACCACCATTGAATATGCCTGAGAATCAGGAAGTCTGCGAACAGTGGGAATAGCTTCTTCTGAGCTTGTTCTAGGAGTGTCATATGTTAATCTGAGTGGGGGGTCTCACTGTTCTCTTAACTCTCTGTTCTTTGGGCTCAAGATGAGTCTCTTCACAGGATTCTTCATCGGGATCAAGGTGGCTTTCCGCAAATAGTTCTCCTTCGGGTTCAGGGGAACTCCCATCCGGAAGCCCTTCATCAGGTTAATGGACTAACTGGTAGTCTTGCTCTACTAGTTCTGAATTGTCTTGCACCTGGGGTACAAATTCAGGTGCATCAGGCCAGAGCTCACCCGAGTGCTGATTAGCAGTGGAGGTGGATGGAGTGGCATCCATGGGCTCAGATGGCCACAACCATCCTACCTCCAGATCATCATCACTGTCATCTTCTATTGTTGTGGCCTCATCCGGCAGTAGAGGTTGAGACCTGTTAACTGGAACTTGCCTGGAAGAAGATGGTTTGGGTAAAGAAGTCTCGGTTCTCACAGGTACTCTGACAACAACTCTCCTCTGGACCATCTGAGGGGCCCCTTCGGTAGACCATCCCGTCTGAGAGCTGCAGTAGATTCCACTCCTTGTGAACCAATCGAGCCTCCTTTGAGGAGTCTGCCGTCAGTAGAAGTTCTGGGCGACCCCTCTCCAAGGCTTTCAAAGTCATAGAACAAAGAGGATCTTCGGGTTTTTTTTTTTTTAAATATTCAATTTTTATTAAGTATAATTTGTTAAACAAAACATGTACATTTCCCACCAAGCAGAATACATTTCAGACAGGGCAAATATATTTCAAACAAGAAGTGTACATTTCAGATACAGTCCACTTTTATGAGCAGACACATTTCTCTGCCTCTCAGCACACTAAGACTTTGCTTTACTCATGTGTCTGCACCTTATAGGCCAAAGTCATACCCGGTGGGGTACTCCACATTTAAGGAAAAGGAAGGGATAAGCAGGGGAGGGAAAAGAAAAATAGAGGGGGAAGGAGGGAGAAAAGAGAGGTGTGTGTGGTAAGATTCTTCAGGGTAGGGGGGGGAGCGTTTTCATGCAAAGACCTATTCAATCCTCCCATTATAGGCCCCTAGCAAACGACCGACTCCACAGACACTACCATTTCCATTATTCTAATATACCATTTATAGATCAACATTATTTACACCTTTTGATTAACTCCAGAAAGGTCCCGGTAGAAGTTAATTAGTTAGCTAACAGGCCAGCTGTGTATATATAAGCGTAGCTTTAAAGGTAACCCAAGGAGACCAAGTGGTTTCAAACACAGCTATACGTTCCTGTCTCAGCGCAGTAAGTTCCTCCATATGACACAGATAATCAACTTTATGAATCCATTCCTTTATTGAAGGCACCACAGGGGTGCTCCAGTATTTGGGAATAAGGAACTTTGCAGCATTCAATAGATGTGGCATCAAGGCTTTCCTATACTTTACAAGCGGTGTATCTGACGTGTAGTAAGCATACCCAAGGGTCGGTAGGGGGGGGTTGTCCCGTTATGGATGCAATAAGAGTGGTGACTTGCAACCAAAAAGGTTTCACTTTAGGACAGGACCACCATATGTGTCCGTGTGTACCTACGAGTCCACATCCCCTCCAACATTCTGGAGAATGCACTGGATAAATCGGTTTTCACTTCAAATTTTGCACCATACAGGTATTCTTTCGGTTTGTCCACGACAGCCCATTTCAACGCCAAAAATTCCAACTTGTGAGTGGGGTAATTTCTCTCAGATAGAGTAAGGCTTCAACTCACATAAGCAACAGGTTTCAGACGTCCATCATGTTCTTGATACAACACACCACCCAGTCCTTCTCTGCTGGCATCAACATGAAGCTCATAGGGCTTGCGGATGTCAGCGTAGGCTAAGACTGGGGCATTGGTCAAGCTCTTCAATTGAAGGAAAGCTTGTTCACATTGATCAGACCACTCTCCCTCTATGGACTCCCGAGACTTTCTCACTCCACTAGTTTGCCGGACTACTTCTGAGGCCTCTTGCTCTCCTTCATCGTCACCAGCCCGCAAAAGTTCAGTGAGAGGTCTGGCTATTTTTGCAAATCCCTCCACAAACCTCCTGTAGTAGGAGCAGAACCCAAGAAAAGATCTCAGCTCTTGCACATTTCTGGGCCTGGGCCAAGTGGTAATGGCTTCCAACTTCTTGGGGTCAGTGGCTACTCCCTCCGTTGAGACAACATGCCCGAGGTAGGTGGCTGATGACTGATAGAACTGGCACTTCTCAAGAGACAGCTTCAACCCCTCTTCACAGAGTCGCTTCAGAACCTTCCCTAGACGCTCTTCATGTTCTTCCAAAGTCCGTCCAAAGACAATTATGTCATCTAGGTACACTAACACTTCAATTAAGTTCATGTCACCAACCGTCCGCTCCATCAAGCGTTGGAATGTAGCAGGGGCTCCCGACAGACCCTGTGGCATCCGTTC